CTTTTATGTTTTTCATTAACTTTTTTGGGGGGTTCTCCACATGAATTATTATTTACTGTTTCTCCCCATGTGAATATAGCCTCTTTACCCCTTCACCTTACATTTTTAGCGTAGTCCCACTAACTCTATGATGGGTGTTGGATAAGTAACCTAACTGGACTGTGCTGTTTACTGCATTATTTAATGATGCAAAAATTTATAGCATTCCCATATTAGCCATGGACTGCTTTGCTATTTAAAGGTTTCCTAAATTAACGTTTGTTTATTCTGTTACCTTTAGTCAAAGGGATTGGTATAGATTAATCAAGGTGATGTGGTGTGATGTTTTTCTGTTACCCCTTTGGATATTTGGCAATATATATAAAGTCTGGTGTCAAAGACTAGGAGGAAAGGCTGTTTAGGTGTATATATATTTGTGTGGTTTGCTGCTGGAGTTGGAATCCAGGATTACTAATTTGGCTTTGCTGATAACCCTCCTGTGTAATGAAAATATCCTCCTGAAAATGTTGATAGTGCTTGCTGTGAACACTGGAATAGTTCATCTATTTTAAGATTAAAAGTTATGATTTTAATAGCAACTGATCATTTCATTCATCATAATGATTGTATGTACTGGTGTAGCCACAACCATTTTGATGAACACACTTGACAAGATAGGTCCACAAATATTACCAAATATTTATAGTGTGTTTAACATGAAAGGCCTTACTGTGGGTATACACAAAGTATATAACTCAAAGTAATTTGAGTTAGGTCTTGGCTTCAGAGTTCATATAACATGAGAGGCTAACTATAGTTAATGTGGAAGCAGAGGGCCTCAAATAGTAATGAAAGGGACAAAAGAATTGATTGGGCTGGACTGTTGGCTGTCAAAACAAGTTTGAGCAGGACAGTAAAGAATCCTTTACTGAATCAAGTGAATCAAGCTGAACAAGTTTTAAAGAAAGAAATCAGAGACTTGTTTGAAATCAATGACAGAATGCAATAGTTATAACGGCTGGACTAAGTAGCATGGTACCATTAAAGATCCTTGGTGTAGAAACCATGAAAGTGGCAGAGTAATGAAGTATATGGCGGGGGGGGGGGTTACAACCTGGAGGGATAGCAGCAATAGAAAGAAGATGACGTTAAAGAAGGGAGAAATGATTGGCACTATGGTATGCTATAGGTTATTCCAATTTTTATCAATGAATTAAATTTAGGGCATAGTTGGATTGCCCTTAAAATGTTGGATATTTAGAATTTGCCACAATTGAATTAGCTTTGGTTAATTGAATTATCTTTGGTTCACAAATGAAGAATCTGAAAACTAGTTAACGCCAGCAGGTGGAATTGAGTGAACAAAAATCCTATACATGACTAATTTCACAATAAACTAGTGTATCACATTTGTGGTGTGGTTGCAGAATTAAGGTAGTCATGGACTACGTGTCTAGTATTGGAACATTAATTCAGAGCGTATTCTAGGCTTAGTCTTTTGTCTGCATCTACAATATTTTATGTATGTCACTCTTTGAGACACTTTGCCAATAGTAGTGAAAAGGAATGATTAGCCACATAGTGAACAGGGAGTCATGAGCATTGTGTGCAGGTTTGTGAACTTCTGGCATTCAGGAGAGGAAATAATACATTTTTTGTTAAAAATTTATTTATGCAAACAACTGGGGTACAGGCCAGAGTCGTCGGGGGAGGCGCTGGTGAGAGGACCAATCAGAGACAGTGGGGAGCAAATCTGAGGCAGATAGACCGAGAAATATACTGCTGAGTGGAGCAGTGGGTGCACCAAAAGAGGTCTGCCATGCCTTGGGTCACCTCCCCAGCTGATCAGATTAATGCTGTGGAGAGCTCTCAGTGTTGCCGTTCAACCCATTGCATCACCAGGGAGTACCCAAATTTGTATTTCTACATTATTTGGGCAGAGGGTCTTTTTAATTATTCTAATATTGAGAGCCAGTTAGTTTTAACTGTTTTTGATTTTATAAATTAAAATATTTATGAAGATTATAGTTCATAAATTCTTGACTTTTCATGTCATTTATGTTGTTCAGAGACCATAGCCCTCATATGTAACTTCTACTTAACCTGTCTTTTTGTAGATGGACCAGTGATGGGAGAGGGTGTTTAAGAAGGGACTTCTCTTCTTTAATCATAGTTTTTGTTGCCTTGAGAATGGCATTGTTAATGTTGATGAAAGGGGGGTGGGGATTGTGTTTTTTCTTGCAAGTTTGCTTTTCAAGCTTTTAGGTATTTTGTTACAATAATAGTTTGTGCTATTATAAAAACATTTTCCCTTCATTTGGAAAATAATAATGAAGGGAAAAGTTATACCAAGTTCTGTCATCTTTAAAATGACTCCTGTTTTTCTATTCTTTGATATTTAAATTATTAAGTAGCCCTCCTTGGCAGTATAGTGGGGTTGAAGCCCAGGGCTATGGAGCTGACTGGGGCCACTGAAATGTGGGTTCGTTCTCTGGGCCCAGGTGGCATGACAGACCTCTCCTGACCTGCCCACTGCTTCCCTTGGCAGTGTGTTTCAGAGGATCTCTGCCTGTTCTGCTCCCCGCTCTGTCTCTGGTGGATCATCCCCCTCTCACCCCCACACCTCTGGTGGATACCCCAGTTGTGTGCATAAATGAATAAATCTTAAAAAAAACAAACAAGAACTGTTAAGTAGTTTTTTTTTTTTTTTTAAGACATTTACTCATGCATCTAGAATTGGGGTGTAGGCTAGAGGTGCAGGGGCTGAGAGGATTTACGAGAGAGAGCGGGGAGCAGAAGAGGCATATTGAAGTACAGTGTTGAGGGGAGCAGCAGGCGAGATAGGAGAAGTCTGCTACACCTTGTGGGTCACCTCCCTGGCCGGGGATTGAACTTGAGCTGAAGTGACTGCAGATAGCTTCATAGTACTGGGCTTTAACCCATTGCCCCACCAGGGAGGGTTAAATAGTGTTGTTATAGACTAGATGACCAAATTGAAAGTGGTTGATTTGTTAATCTACTTATCCATAGTCTATACATTAATGGTTCAACCTTAGCTCAGTATAACAACAGAAACAGTCTCTGTGGCAGGGTTTCTCAACCTCAGTGCTGTTTATTTTTTCAAAAATTTATTTATGCATACAAATTGGGGTATAGGCCAGAGGTGCAGGGGGTGAGAGGATCCACCAGAGAGAGTGGGGAACAGAACAGAACAGGTGTGTCTACTAAAATAACACTGATGAGGAAAGCAGCAGGTGGGACAAGGTAGGCCTGCTGCGCCATATGGGTTAGCTCCCTGGCCTAGGAAGTCACTTGCACTGCAGTGACTGGTGGTAGCTTGGTAGTACTGAGCCACGAGGGCGGCTCAGTATTGATATTTTATAAAAATGATAACTTAATATGTCTAAGTATGTATCTAAATAACCTATAACTTGTAGGATGTTGAGTAATCTCTCTGGCCTCTGCTTACCTTCTAAATACCACCACCACCCTTATTTGACAACCAAAAAGTTTCTCTAGTCATTTCTTAGGCTCCCTGGAAGAAATCACTGTTGTTGAGAAATGTGTTCACATAAAAGGACGTGTTTTTGTTGAAGTTGATTCAGTTGGAGTTTGCAGAATATTTGAGATCAAATTAGATGGGAGGATCTTTTTGGGGTTTAGGAGTGGAAAAACTGCTCGAGAACTGATGTAAACAGCTAGGATTATAGTATTATGGAGAGAAGGGGAAATAGTAGGGGATCTTTTATACTGAATTTACATAATATCCAAGTATTTGAACAAGTATTTGAAGTTTGGTGATGAACCACCGACTTTTTCCACTAGGCAAAAATGGTGATTTTTTTTTTTTAAAGTCTGTGGCTCAAGTGTATTGAATAAAGACTATCCTGAGATAAGGATGACTGGAAGACTTGACAATATTAACTGACTCTGTGAGGTAGAAAATACGAAAATGTTCTGAATTGGAAGAATATCTGAACTTGATGTTTGGTTTAGAATATCTGCAGGTATGGGACAGGAAGGAATCTATTTTTTGAACATACGTATATTTTTTTCTCAGCACCTAATGTATGTACTATGCAAGAAATGGAACAGTAGGAAGAGGAATGGTTTTACATCTGCCACAAAGCTGGTCTAAAAATTGTGTGAAAATTAATAATTCTTCAGTTTGTAAAAAGCTTCTTGTATGTTCATATGAGATAGATTTTGAGGCCAGGTGTTGCTGATGCTACTACTACTAACATAAAATTTGAGATAATTTTTAACTGTGTCACATATATTGTTTTGTCCCAGATAAATTCAGTACTTACAAACTTTGGTTTGAAAATTTCAGTTGGTAGATTTTTCACTCTGACAGATTGGTTTTGCTTCAACAATATCCCTTCTGTAAGTTATGGTTATTTGAAGATTACGTTTACTATAGTTTTTATAGTTGCTTCTGTACTTTCATCATAATGATTTTACTTGCCTTTCTCCACCTTTATTGTGTTAAATTGGAAAGTCAGAATAACAGAATTCTCTCCTTTTAGATATATATATTTGAAGTCATGAATTCCTTATTGTAATTTTACAAGAGAGGGAAGAAGTGATGGAAAAGTAGATTTAACCCTAATAGTCAGTGAAGTACTTTAATCAGTTGCTTGTACTTTAATCAGTTTCCTTTCTGTGAGTATAAGTGGTTGGCAGGAACGAATGAATGAAGTAGAAGTTAAAGCATGGTGGAATCAGCAGTTGTTGAACTTAAGGTGTTAACAGGTCTGTTTCCTAATTCATTGTTTCAGAAATTTCAAGAACTTGACAAACTTTTGCATTAATTTCTTAAACTTGATTAGTGCACATTGATAGCGTTTTCCTGTCTCTTTCAGATTGTAATTTCTCTTGCAGAAACTTTTTTAAGGGATAAAAATACCTGATAAACATGCTAACTTTTGTTGAAGATTTTGCTTTTGCGTGTTTGTAATAAGGACTTGTTAGGCTATTATAAGTATTTTTAAAACATGATGCACCTTTTCCCCTTTCAGTATAATAATCATGAAATTCGTTCTGGAAAACATATTGGTGTCTGCATCTCAGTTGCCAACAATAGGCTTTTTGTGGGCTCTATTCCTAAGAGTAAAACCAAGGAACAGATTCTCGAAGAATTTAGTAAAGTAACAGGTAAGTTGAATTGGAAGGAGTTGCAATTTTAATTACTGAAAGTAATTACAAACTTTTACATGTTAAATGCTGTTTCAGACACATTCATTAACAGGTAACTCTAATTTTAATAAGGGAAATGGGTATTAGAGGGCTTGGGGGGAATAACTTTCTTAACTGTATATAGTAAGGAATGCAGTGGAATAAGCATTCAGCACAATGTTTGTGCTTCCCTGTTCTGTAAGATTGTATTTTTTGTGTCATTTTATGTATTTTTACTTGCTAGTTAACATTCTTACTAGGATTGTGAAATGTTTAAATTTTCCAAATTAAAGGGGTAATAACTTGTTACAAGCAGATTATATATTGTCAATATGGGGCAGTTTATAAACTCAGCGGTTTTCAGATGACTTACTAAAAAGTATTTTTGTCAGCCTAGAGTAACAAATCAGGCTGACCAGCAATTGAAATTTTTGTGTATAATCTAATTTATTGAAAATGAAGTTATTAATTATCTAAGGCCAAAAAAAAACACCATTAGAAAGAATTTTAGTGTGTGTTTGCATAATGAGAGAAATGTCTCAACCATGTCTAGTCTATACTTCCATTTTCCTAAAACAATTACGTAAAGATTTTTATTGTCTCTATCATTTACTTAATGGAAGTGGAATAGTTCTTAGGTCTAACTTAAAAACAGTGTTTTCAATTTCATGGGGTTTTTTTCCAAGTGTTGGGAACACTTGGGAAAGTATGGAATTAGGTACATCATCTGACCCAGTTTTTTTGAGTCCCTTATAAAGATTCTTTCTCATTTTTCTTGTTATGAGGTTACTTTTTGTTTTGATATTCAAGCATTAACATTAGAAAAGTAAATCCCTTGATCTTTTTCTTGTTATTTTTACCTAATTTACCTGGAATGGTTGCTTTTCAGAGGGTCTTACAGACGTCATTTTATACCACCAACCAGACGACAAGAAAAAGAACAGAGGTTTTTGCTTTCTTGAATATGAAGATCACAAAACAGCTGCCCAGGCAAGGCGTAGATTAATGAGCGGTAAAGTCAAGGTCTGGGGAAATGTTGGAACTGTTGAATGGGCTGATCCTATAGAAGATCCTGATCCTGAGGTTATGGCAAAGGTAATGAGAGTCAAGCTCTAAACAATTACTTTGAAGGGTTGGTGGGAGAAGTGGAAAGCTTTAGAGAGAAGAAAAACAAGGATTTATGAAGTAAATTACGTGCTTTAGTAAGCCATAATTTTAAAACTTGGAAATGTTTATGTTAAGGTCACAAAATCAGAAATAACAGTGTGCATAGAAAGTGAATACAGAAATTTATTCATAGATACTCAATATAATTGTATAGCTAGCATACTTAGGATGAATTTAGGTGGCCTACATGTCGTGGAGATGATTCACTTCTATTTTTTGTGACTTTAAGGGCAATTTCTTCTGGTTTTTGAGACAGTTACTTCTAGTTTTTGAGAATGGCGCCATCGTGTTACATGGTTCTTGTGTTGAAAGTCTTCCTAAAAATAGTGAACTCTATTGGCTTCAGCAGAGCTGCTGCAGTTACAGGGTTTAGCTATTATTAGGTATCCTGCTTTAGCAGTCAGTTGAGACATCCTTTAAGAACAAACATCTCTCTTAAGTCAACACTTTACTCACTATTGCAGTTTGCATTTATTCTCTGAATCTTTTAAAAATCCTCCTTTAATTATGATAGGTTAGCGATTATGGTTATTTGAGGTAAGTCAAAAGAGGTCTGTAAAATACCAGTTTTGAATGTTAGTAGAAGATAAATGATTAAAAATTCAGATTCATTTCAAGCATTTTAGGATTAAATCTCAGATTCTATAACCTATGATTATATGTTAGAGCTTTTGAACATTTTGGAGTATTTTGAACATTCCATTCCCTCTTAGATTTCAAAGACAGTTCTTAAGTAGTTTTGAATCACCTATGTTACATATTCAACAACTTCTCAGAGGGTGTGTATTCACAGTTAGGAAATAACCATCTTTGTTTTGACTGCAGAATAGAGTAATTCTAAGCATATGCTTTTGAGTATAGAATAATACAGTTTGCATAAGTTCTGTCCACACACATAAATAGCCAACCTCACTATCAACATCCATAACAGAGTGATCGTTTTTGTTTTCTCACTGAAAATATATATTCTGACAGATTATTGTAATTTAAAGTCCATACTTAGTGTTAGTATTCACATACACTACACATTCTATGGTTTTGGCAAATGTATGATATATATTCACCATTAAAGCATCATACAGAGTAGTTTCCTTGCCTTAAGAATCATGTTACCCATATATCCTTCCTCACCCCTTTTAGATTACTAAAAGGTATTCTTACTGTTTCCATCGTTTTACCTTTTCCAAATGTCAATGGAATTGTACAGTATATAGCTTTTTAAGATCATCATCTTTTACTTAGTTACATACATTCAAATTCTGCCACAGCTTTTATGGTTTACGTCATTTCCTGAATAAAACTCCTTGGTCAGGATGTGTTATAGTTTATCCATTGGCTGACACAAAGGTATCTTGGTTGCTTCCATGTTTGAATATTATGAATAAAAGGTGCTATAAATATCCATTTGCAGGTTTTTGTGTAGCTGTTTTTCAGCTCATTTGAGTAAATACCAAGGAGAGCTATTGCTGGGTTGTGTGATAAAGAATGCCTAGTTTTGTAAGAAGCTGCCAAATTGACCATATATTCCATTTACACCAGCAGTGTTGCTGTGTCTCCATTTTCTCATCAGCATTGGTGCCTTCCGGATTTTAGTAATTTTAATAGGTTTGTGCCCTAGTACCTTACTGTTATAGCTTGCACATTTCTGCTGATAAATCATATGAACCTGTATATACTTATTTGCAATCTTCTTATCTTTGGTGAAATAATCTGTTTAAGTTTTTACTCAAATGAGCTGAAAACCTAAGCTTTCACACATGTGACTTAATTGGGTGTGACTAAAGTTAACGTTAGTGAGGCAGTAGTAACATCTTTCAAATGGAATCTTTGGAAATAACAGGGAGTATGTGCATGTGTATGTTCTTTTTTTTTTTTTCAATTTCAGGTAAAAGTGCTGTTTGTACGCAACCTTGCCAATACTGTAACAGAAGAGATTTTAGAAAAGGCATTTAGTCAGTTTGGAAAACTAGAACGAGTGAAGAAATTAAAAGATTATGCTTTCATTCATTTTGATGAACGAGATGGTGCTGTCAAGGTAAATAACTGGGGAGATTACTACTATTGGCGTCTAAATTAAGACTTAATTTTTTCATTCTAGAATCAGAATGTTGAAAAGTTGAAGGAAACT